TTCTTTACTTCTTTCTTCTCCTTCTTCTCTTCTTGTTCTTCTCCTCCCTGAATCTGWTTCTTACCTTTCACAATATTAGCAATTGTTCTAAATCCAACAGCGATTTCATCCAACTGATTTTGCTGTCTATCAATCTTCTCTTCTAGAAAGGTAAGATATGTAACAATATGAGCCAACGTTTGTGACATGTCAGTCTGCTCACTGACTTCTGTTCCTATTACTTGCCTGATCTCTTTAACTCTTTGTCCTCTTCGCTGTTCCTGTTCTCTTCTTCGAGATACTTCTTCTTTATTTCTTTCTTCCGCAGCCAAGGCCTCTCTTAGCTGCTGGATATTGGAATCGATCGATTCTTCACTTACTTCTGTTTTTACTTCCCCCTTGCGAGTAGCTTCCATGATCTCTTCCAGTTACTTTAAAGCAAACTGGTCTAGAGCCTGTCGCCCCTGAGTAATCAGTTTGGAGGCCTCTGTACCGGCTGCCACAACCTCCACAGCCGTGATAGACTTCTTCAGGCGGTCTTCAACCCCCTGAAGATCGAAATTATCACGGATGTGTTGCTCGGCATCCGGTCCAGACAGCTGCACCTCAGTCAAAAACTGATACCACAAGGCTAACAGTTCATCTTTTTTTCTGTCAGCCAGTCCCCTTGTCCTAAGTTCAGACGGTCCTTCCCCAACGGAAAGTGTGATCGGAAAAGAAAACAGGAAAGTAGTCAGGAATCTCGTCAAGATAGACTGTTGCAGACATTTCCAGAAGGAAGACATCTTGAGAGAACAGAAACACGAAAATTCGTTGGCCAGATTATTTACCGCAAAATAAATAATAATTCACGGTCACCTAAGCAGCACGCTGTTCTGCCGCAAAAGACAATAATTTCACGGTCACCTATCCGACACTGTGTCTGAGTCAAAAAGAATAATAATAATAAGGAACATAAGTTTTCTAATTTTGTTTGCTGTTCTGTTTTCAATGTGATGACATYCTACTCTATCTCAGGTACCGCAGCTCCAGGCCAGCATGATCATCAACAAACACAAGTGAGTACACAGGTACACAACACAGCCAGACAACAGGTAAGTCCGCCAACAAAATCAATCAATAGTTAGCGTTTTCCCCTTCTTGCTGTTTCGTCCTTCTTTGTCCTGTGTGACCAGCACACAGTCTGACATTCGGCACCACAGCCACGTCAGTCTTCTTGCCGTGCCGCTTTAGTCATCAGAATGCTGTCCTCACTTAGGCACGATCGTGCTTGCCACGTGTCACCCCTGGCCTGCCAACTCAGCAACTCGATGAGTATGCCAGGTCAGCAGGTCAATCAATATCATCAATGGGTGCACGTCAGCAATGTATGCTGAAGTCGAAGTACCAGCCTGCCACAAAGTYGAAGTTTCAACCTGCCACGTGTATCCCCTGGAGTGCCAACTCAGCAGCACTTTTGTCTGCCAGGTCAGCACCAAGGTCTAGTCAGCATCATCGAGGGAATACACGTCAGGAGCAGTACCAACGTGCCACGTAAGCCAGGTAGCGGAATATGACACTGCCACGTCAGCCTGCTATCTCACCGAATGGTGAGTCAGCAATGCCACATCATCAATCTGCTATCATCCACCGGCCACGTCAGCGTTACAATGCCACTTCAATGCCGCGTCAGCATCGGACATGTGTACCAAGGCCACGTCAATGCCACGTCATGTCAGCATCAGACATGTGTACCAAGGTCACGTCAATGCCACGTCGATGCCACGTCAGCATCGGACATGTGTACCAAGGCCACGTCAATGCCACGTCAATAATCTGACGTGCGCTGTCTTCTCCATGTCAGCCTCTTCAATGTAGATGCCACCACTTGTCGTTGT